GGGTAGGGGGGCGGGGGGCGGCGGAAAGGGAGAGCGGAGGGTGCAGGAGCAGGGAGAGGGGGGGGGGGGGAGCAGGAGAAGGGGGGAGGGGGGAGGGGGGGGGGGGGAAGGGGAGGGGGAAGGGGGGAGGAGCAGGAGAGGGGGGGAAGGCAAGTTAGGTGCGCCCGCGTCAACATCTGACATCCTACCCCTCCCTCCCATCCCTTACCATGGCGCTGATTTTCTCTATCCGCGGACGCGTGTCGTAGCGGACCTGTGGCTCCGCGCGCGTGTGCGTAGTGGGTGGTGGTGCGCGTGCGTGCGTGCGTGTGTGCGTGGTTGTGGTTGTTGTGGTGGTGGTGTGTATGTGTGTGTGTGTGCGTGTGTGCGCGTGTGCTGTGGTGTGACGTGGTGTGGCGTCTTGGTGGTTTGGTGGTGGGCCAGGTGCGTACGTGCGTGATGGCGGTGGTGGTGGTGGCGGCGGTGGTGGTGTGTGTGTGTGTGTGTGTGTGTGTGTGTGTGTGTGTTTGTGTTTGTGTTTGTGTTTGTGTTTGTGTTTGTGTTTGTGTTTGTGTTTGTGTTTGTGTTTGTGTTTGTGTTTGTGTTTGTGTTTGTGTTTGTGTTTTGTGTTTGTGTTTGTGTTTGTGTTTGTGTTTGTGTTTGTGTTTGTGTTTGTGTTTGTGTTTGTGTTTGTGTTTGTGTTTGTGTTTGTGTTTGTGTTTGTGTTTGTGTTTGTGTTTGTGTTTGTGTTTGTGTTTGTGTTTGTGTTTGTGTTTGTGTTGTGTTTGTGTTGCGTGCGTGCGTGCGTGCGTGCGTGCGTGGTGCGTGCGTGCGTGCGTGCGTGCGTGCGTGCGTGCGTGCGTGCGTGCGTGCGTGCGTGCGTGCGTGCGTGCGCGTGCGTGCGTGCGCGTGTGTGTGTGTGTGTGTGTGTGTGTGTGTGTGTGTGTGTGTCGGTGCGTGCGGGCGGGCGCGCGTGCGTGCGTGCGTGCGTGCGTGCGTGCGTGCGTGCGTGCGTGCGTGCGTGCGTGTGTGTCTGTGTGTGCGCGCGTGTGATGTGGTGTGACGCGGTGTAGCGTGGTGGTGGTGGGTGGGGTAGTGCGGTGGTGGTGGCGGTGCGCGGTGGTGGTGCGCGTGCGTGCGTGCGTGCGTTGGTGGGTGGAAGTGGCGGTGGGTGTGCGTGCGGCGGGGCGGGGCGTGGTGCGGCGCGGTGGTGGCGGGCGGATGGGCGCGCGAGAAAGAGGCCCGCGCTGGGGCGAGAACGCCATCCTGAACGACGGAGGCCAAACACCGATCCGAAAATGAGGCCCACGCTGCAGCGGGAGCACGATTCGGAACGATTCGGGAGCAGAAATGAAGCCGGCGCCTCAGCGAGAGCAGCATTTTGGAAAAAACGCAGGCGAAAACCAAACTCCCGGGAATCCTGTGTGTAAAAAAACAATACGCGGGGGGGGGGCGGCTACTTTCAGGCCGCCTTCGGGGGAAGAGGGAGAGTAGTATTCATATTGAGTAACTGTGAAGCAGCAGGGGGCGTGCGTCTCGTGCCTTGAGGGTCCGGAAGCGCCGCTGGTTGCCGCGCAGCTCCTCTCGGAATGTCGGAAAACGCGGAGGGAGGCCCCTCCCCGGGGGAGGGAGGCCCCCGGGGAGGGGCCCTGCATGTCGGGCCTCGCCGCCTTGTGCTGGGAGGCCAGCGCACTTTTTGCGTCGGCGGCTAGGCGGAGGGACTGCGCTGGCGGGTCAAGCAAAACGGGGTGCGTTAGGCGAGTTCCGCCACCATGCAGAGCAAGGAAGGAGAACGACAGCAAGGGGGCCAGCGCACACGCCGGGCGTGAGACCAAAGCACCCATCCCCCGTGCAGGACGCGAGAGGCGTCCCCCCCAGGGGTCGATGCCAAGGAGTGGGCGAGGAGCCACCTGGAGGGAAGCCCCGTGATCCTTGCCCGGGTGTGGCCGCAGGGCGTGGCACCCATGCGCACCTGGAAGGCGCTGCAGGGTGATGTGCCAAGGATCGGCTCCAGCAGGGAAGCGGGGATGGGGAAGGGACGCGCTGGTCGGAGATGGCTCCAGCGCGGGGGGATGGGGGTCCCATGAGCCCGCTCGCATCGGGAGAGGCAGAGTCAGCAGCAACACAAACGCTCTGGATGGAGCCTGGCCCCCGTCATGAACCCCGCCTCCGGCAAGGGCGGACAGCGGCAGCGACGGGGGCGACGACGCCTTCGACGAGAGGGATGAGGGGGAGAAGAGAACGGGAGGGGGGAGGAGGGGCAGGGGAAGGAGAGAGGACAAGGAGGAAGGAAGGGAGGAGGAGGAGGAGCAGCAGAGAAGAGGAAGAGGAACATGAGCGCGGGGAGGCTGAGGGAGGGAGGGCCTCGCCCATCCCGTCCATCCTGAGGAGGGTCGGGAGAGGGGGCTGAGCCGGTCTTGAGCCACGACCCTGGCCGAGCGGCGCACGGGAAGGCAGAAGCCCTCGTCCGCTGGCACGCTCCGCTCCGCCAGAGGCGGGGAGAGAGGCGAGGGAAAAAGGAGAACGAGGCGGAGGGGGAGAGGGGACGAAGAGGACGAGAAGGAGGAGGAGGAGGAGGAGGAGGAGGAGGAGGAAGGAAGGAAGGAAGGAAGGAAGGAAGGAAGGAGGAGAGGAGAAAGAAAGGAAGGAAGGACGGAGGAGGAGGAGGAGGAGGAGGAGGAGAGGAGGCCGAGTGGGAGAGAGGAGGAGAGAGGAGAGAGAGGAGGAGGAAGAGGAGGAAGAGGAGGAGAGGAGGAGGAGGAGGAGCAGCAGGAGAACAAGGAGGAGGAGGAGGAGGAGGAGCGATCGAGGATCCCTTCGGCCTTCAGGAATCAGGAATCAAGAGCAGGAGGAGACGGGGGGAGAGGAGGACTTAGGTGGAGTCGAAGGACTCCGCCCCGGGGAGAGGACGCGCCGAGGTGGGCCCCCGCCTCCCCCTCAGGAGGGTAGTGCCCGCCACCTCCTCCTCCTCCTCCCTCCTCCTCCTCCTCCTCCACCTCCTCCTCCTCTTCAGGCTCCTCCTCCTCCTCCTCCTCCTCCTCCTCCTCCTCCTCCTCTTCTTCCTGATTATCATCATCGCTATCATCAGCATCATCCTCATCCTCATCCTCATCCTCATCCTCATCCTCATCATCAGCATCACCACCACCACAATCATCATCATCATCATCATCATCATCATCATCATCATCATCATCATCATCATCAGCATCATCAGCATCATCATCACCACGAGCATCATCACCATCATCATCATCATCAGCATCATCATCATAATAATCAGCATCATCATCAGCATGATCATAATCATCATCATCATCATGATCATGATCATGATCACCATCATCATCATCATCATCATGATCATCATGATGATCATGATCATCATCATCATCATCATCATCATCATCACCATCTGCGTCGTCATCGTCACCATTTCCACGTTGCCAGAAATACAAAGCATCATCATCGTCATCGCCATCAATATCGCAACCCTCGTCATCATAATCGTACTCAACATCCTCACCATCATCAGCATCATCACCAGCATCTGCATCATCATCAGATTCATCAGCATCATCAACAGCCTCCTCATCATCATCACCATCATCAGCCGCTGAAGCAGCATCAGCAGCACAAACACCAGAATCAGCATCATCAGCATCATCATCATCAGCAGCACGATCATCGTCACCATCATTACCATAATCAGCCGCATGGACAGCGGCATCACCATCACCCTCATCATCCTCCATATTCTCATCATCATCAGCAGAAGCAGCAGAAGCAGCATCAGCATCAGCAACATCATCAACATCACAATCAGCATCATAACCGTCATCATGATCCTCATTATCGGCACCATCCTCTTCATCGTCAGCATGGTCATCATCATCATCATCATCATCCTCATCATCATCATCATCATCATCATATCATCATCATCATCAGCATCATCATCATCAGCATCATCATCATCATCTTCATCCTCATCACCGGCATCATCATCATCAACATGATCATCATCACCATCAGCATCAGCAGCGTCATTGTACGTCGCATCATTGTCTTCATTATCACCTCTATCACCCTTATCACCAACACCATATCATCATCAGCATCAGCATGACAACCATCCTCATCGTACGATCAGCACCAGCATCAGCGTCATCACGATCATCATCAGGATCATCATCATCATTATCATTATAAGCGGCAACAACATCGCCACCCTCACCATCTTCACTCTCCTCTGGGTCAGCGGTATCAGCATCAGCCGAATCATCATTACCGACATCGTTATCATCCGCATCCCCATCCTCATCATCAGCGTCATCCTCATCCTCATCATCACCCTGATCCTCACCACAATAACCGCCTTAGTCATCATCATCACCAGCATCATCATCAGCATCATCATGACCATCATCATCATCACCATCATCGTCATCATCATCATCATCATCGTCATCACCATCATCGGCATCACCATCATCATCATCGTCGCCGCCAGCGCCACCATCATCAGCACCATCATCACCATCCTCGCAAATCAGAGCATGATCATCAGTACCATCATGCGCATCACCATCATCACCATCACCGTCATCATCATCATCACCATCATCAGCATCGCCATCATCAGCTTCAGCATCAGCATCATCATCGTCGTCATCAACATCATTGTCATCATCGTCATCATCACCACCAACATCATTATCACCAACATTATCATCATCAACAACATCATAACCATGGTCATCATCACCATCATCCGCCCCATCCTCCTCCCCCTCCATATCCCAGACCCCCCCCCGCAATCCATCTCATCCCTCCACCGCATCATTCCTCCCCCGCTTCTCCCCAATTCCCACCGCTCTTCTCCTCCTCCTCCTCCTCCTCCACCTCCGTCTCCTCCTCCTCCTCCTCCTCCTCATCATCATCATCGTCATCACCATCATCAGCCGCAGCAGCATCATCATCATCACCACCATCATTATCATCATCATCATCATCATCGTCATCATCATCATCATCATCAGCATCATCATCATCATCATCCATCATCATCATCATCATCATCTCATCTCCTATCCATCATCCCATCCCCCTCCTCCTCCTCCTCCTCCTCCTCCTCCTCCCCCTCCTCCTCCTGAACCTCCCCCTCCCCCTCCCCCTACCGCCCCCCTCGTCGCCGCCAACGCCGCCCTCGTCCTCGCCGCCGCCGCATTCCTCGTCGCATTCTCGCCCACGTCTCCGTCGCCGTCCACGCCGCTCTCGTCCCTGCTGGGATTCCCGCCGTCGCCGCCCTCGCCGCCGCCGACGCACGGTGCGCTAGGCGCCAGCCTGGGCGGCTGCTGCTGCTGCTGCTGCTGGCGACCCGTGGCGGCGGTCTCTTCGGCGTCGGCCGCCGCGCCCGCGCCCTGCTGCGCATCCAGCGCGTGCCTCAGCAGCAACAACATCACCATCCTCACCATCATCAGCAGCAGCATCACCGTCGTCATCATCATCGTCATCATCAGCAGCATCATCATCAGCATCATTCTCATCCTCATCATCCTCGTCATCATCATCAGTACCATCCTCAGCAGCAGCGGCAGCAGCATCACCGTCATCACCAGCATCACCACCAACAACATCATCATCACCATTACCACCACAACCACCACCATTACCATCATCACCAACAACGACAGCAACGTCATCACCTGTCATAAGCAGCTCGTCGTCATCATCAGCAGCATCATCATCAGCATCATCACCATCACCATCCCCGTCCTCGTCCTCGCATTTCTCCTCATCGTCACCATCATCAGGAGTACGCCCACCATCATGGGTATTGCCACAATCGTCATCAACAGCACCATCACCACCACCACCATCGTCGTCATCATCAGCATCTCATCGGCATGACCATTAGCATGATCATCAATATCAGTATCGTCGTCGTCATCATCGTCAGCGGCAGCAGCATCAGCTGTCAACAGCATTACCAGCATAACCCTCGTCTTAATATCCAAAATCACCATCAGCAGCAACATCATCATCATCATCATCATCATCATCATCATCATCATCATCATCATCATCATCATCATCATCATCATCATCATCATCATCATCATCATCATCATCATCATCATCATCATCATCATCATCATCATCATCATCATCATCATCATCATCATCATCACATCATCATCATCATCAGCATCATCAGCATCATCATCGTCGCCATCGTCATCATCAACATCATCATAAGAAATCAGCATCATCATCGTCAGCATCGTCATCATCAGCATCATCATCAGCATCATCAACAGCAGCAGCATCATCCACATCGCAGTCGCCTTCACCATCGTCACCACCATCAATCGCTCTCACGGGCATCTGGGTGCTCTGGGCAGGCACACTGCAAGGAACACTCTCGCTCAGCGTGCCGCGGCGGCGGCCCCAGCGACGTGCCGTGCCCTGCACGCGGACCGCGCGTCGCTCCGCTCCGCGGGGCGGGGAGCCGGGGCACGCTCGGGTCGTTGACGCGCTGGAGTGGGGACGTGCTTCGCGCTTCGCGTCGAAGCGCAGCAGGCCAGAGCCGGCGGATCGGTACGGTAGCGAAGCCAACATCGCAGATCGGGGCTGCTCGGCGACGACGGTAGAGGAGCTCTTCGACGGAGAGGGCGAGGAATGCCCCACGGTCGGGACCGTATGCGCACCGCGTTGCTGCGGCGGCCACGGCGACACGCTGTGCCATCCGAGCGGGCAGAGTGCCGCTCCGCTCCGCGGGGCGGGGGGCTGGGAAAGGCTCGGGGCATGGACGGGCCAGAACGGGCGCAGCGACACTCCGTCCAAATATTTCCGACCGCACCACGGGGTCGTCGCCCTCCTCGTCGTCGACACCGCGGGTGCCACAGCCGTCGCAGCCGGCGCCGACGCCGCCGTCGCCCGTCGATTCGGGGAATCGGTCCAGAGGCTTCCCGAAAGCCTGCCAGGATTCCGGAGGCCTCCTTGGGGGGCTTGCCAGAGGCCCTTCGAAGGCGCCCGGGGTCCTTCGAAGACGCTCAGAGCCTTTTCGACTTTTCGGAGTTTCGGAGCCATTTGCAGAGGTTCTCGGAGACTTCTGGGGGGGTCATGTTCTTGCTAGTGTCCCGGGGCTTGCGGAAGCTCTCAGAGGTTGTCGAAGGGGTCCTGCTGTTGTCGGAGGTACTTGGAGCTTTCTGGGGTTTTCGGAGGGTGCTGCGCGGGGGCGGCGTGAGGGTCGCAGATTTCGGGGACTTGTGAAGGTGTTTACGTAGAGGTGTCTTCTTTCCCAGGGGAAAAAACAGGAAGACAGAAGACGACAACAACAAAGGCAGCGGAACCAGAAAAGTGGCCCGCGCTGGGGCAAGAGTGTCATTCCGAACGACAGAAGGAACGTACCGATCCTGGGAAACCGTAGTCAAAGCTGTAAAGCTGCAGCGGCAGCGACATTTTGAAGAAGCGAAGACGCTCCAAACTGAAAAAAAACATAATTGAACAATGTTTGGAACCCCGTGTGACAAAACACGCGCGGGACGCGCAGGGGAGCTGGGCCACGGTATCAGGTAAGCGAGCGGGAAACCAGTACTCAAAACGAGCAGTTGCCAAGTGAACAGACGACGAATGACGGCAGTGTGACGCAGGAGGAGCAGGGCGGGCCGAGGACCGTGGCATGCGGGACGAGACCACGAGAGGGGCGGCGGTGGAACCAGGACGACGACGAAGACGACGCCGACGCCGACGCCGACGCCGACACCGCCGGAGGAGGTGGAGGAGGGGGAGGGGGAGGGGGAGGGGGGGGGAGGGGGAGGGGGGAGGAGGAGGAGGGAGGAGAGGAGGAGGAGGAGGAGGAGGAGGAGGAGGAGGAGGAGGAGGAGAAGAGCCACCGCGAAGACGGCGGCGACAGCGGCGGCGACAGCGGCGGCGGCGAGGGCGCCCCGCCTGTCGGGCGCGGGGCAGTGCTGCTCCAGCGTGCGGCACGGGGCCGCGGCCGAGGCCGGGTAGCACTCCCTGGGCGGCAGTAGGGCAGCGGCCCTCGTCCTCCCCCCCTCCGACTCCCTCCACTCCCTCCTCGAACCCTTGCTCCTCGACCTCCTCCCCCTCCTCCTAGCTCCCCTCCTCCTCCTGTCCTCCTCCTCCTCCTCCTCCTCCTCCTCCTCCTCCTCCTCCTCCTCGTTTCCTCTCCTCCTCCTCCTCCTCCTCATCCTTGATCCTCCTCTTCCTCCTCCTCCTCCTCCTCCTCCTCCTCCTCGTTCATTATTATTATTGTTATTATTATTATTATGATTATTGTTATTATTATTAGTATTAGTATTATTATTATGATTATTATTTTTATCATTATTATTCTTATTATCATTATTATTATTAGGATTATTATTAATAATAATATTAGTATTATTATTAGTATTATTATTATTAGTATTATTATTATTAGTATTGATCTTATTATTATTATTCTTAGTATTATTGTTATTACGATTGTTATTATTACTATTGTTAGTATCATTAGTAGTCTCTTCGTCGTCCTCCTCTTCCTCGTCCTCCTCCTCCTCCTTATCCTCATCCTCGGTCCTCATCGGTCCTCCTCGCTCCTCCTCCTCCTCCTCCTCCTCCTCCTCCTCCTCCTCCTCCTCCTCCTCCTCCTCCTCCTCCACCTCCTTCCCTGGCCCTCCGAGAGGGGCAGTCCACGCCACGCTGCCACCAGGAGTTCTGAGCGCGGAAGACTACAGACTGGCGCGCGGAGTGGGTGCCCGTGGCGGTGCACACTAGCCCGCACGGGCCAGCGCGTCCCCACCGCCGAGGAGGAGGCCCGTCGGCGAGGGGGCGCGCTTTCGTCCCGAGTCGTTTCGTGACGGCCCCAGGGCCCGGCATTGGCCCTTTCCGAGAAGCCAGAGAGGACATCGAGGGCCTTCGGCAGTGATTGTTCCACAACCTCGCCGTCGCAGTGATTGGTCCACTCCCCGTGCACTTTGTCGGCCTCAAGCGTGCAGTTTTCGCAAGGGCGACCTCACGTCGTCCTCGATGGCCCTTGCCGAGAAAAAGTGCACACGCCCAGGCGATGCCAAGCAACAGGAGGGGTGGGGGCCCCCCCGCGCGTCGAGCGCGACCGAGCCCCAGGAGCGCTCCGCGCGCGAACCCCGGCTCGGCCGCACCACCGCGCGGCTGAGAGGCGCCTCTGCCGCCGTGGGATCGGCGATGGGCCCCCGATGGGGAGGAGGAGGAGGAGGAGGAGGAGGAGGAGGAGGAGGAGGAGGAGTGGGAGGAGGAGGAGGAGGAGGAGGAGGAGGAGAGGAGGAGGAGGAGGAGGAGGAGGAGGAAGAGGAGGATGCTCCCCCCCTGGAGCCAGACCCCCCCCCCCGCTGGCACCTCCGAGGGGAGGGGCCCGCCAGAGGTCCGGCGCGCCTGGGGAGCTGCTGGGGCGGTGCTTCCACGCCCCCATCGCAGACACCTCGTCAGGGGAACAACAAACATCTGGCCCGAAGTGGGTGCCGCAAAAGGGACAACGCGCCAGCTCGATTGCTTTGTCATCCCAGATTCTCCACAACCAGCAAGCACGCAGGCGAACGGTGCCTCCACGACCTCTGGGACCGCGAATCGCAGCAGCAGAGCTGCCCCGCAGCACGCAACAGAGGAGCGCATGGCTGGCTGTGAAGACTGCACGCGGAAAGGAGGAAAGTAGCCAAAGAGGAGCGCGGAGCTCGTGCACGCGTAAGTGAACCCAGACGTCGCCTCGGACGCGCGCAAACGAGAGCTCGGTGTCGACAGAAAGCTGACTCTAGGCGGGAGGGAATGGGCGCCCCCCCCTGGCAGGGGGTGGAGGCGAGGAGGAGGAGCGGGGAGAAGGATCGGGTCTGGCCAGCTGGTGGCCACATCTAGAATCACGGCGCCGTCGGGGGAAGAGCACCCACGAGTTGACAGCCAGTGGTCAGAAAGGCGAGAGACTGGCCCAAGGCGACTAGCGGCGCCGAGGCGGCCCCCCGCCTCACGACGGCGACGCACGCACTGGGCAGCCCCAGGGCTCCTCCTCCTCCTCCTCCTCCTCCTCCTCCTCCTCCTCCTCCTCCTCCTCAACAGTCAGCGGCGCCGGCACTGCGATTGCCTGGCCCTCGCCTGCGGCGCGGGGCGCCCCGCCTGCCCGCAGGAGGCCCCGAGACCACTTCTGCTTCGCCTGGCCCGGACAGGCGGCCTGGAGCCCCGCCGGGCGCGTCCGCGAGCAGCGCCCGCACCTGCTGCACCAGACGCACGGCCCCGTGCGCCGCAGGGCGTGGCCGCTGCTGGTAGCAAGTCGGGCTGGGCGAAAGGGGGGGATAGCAAAGGGCGACCGGTTGTTACTGTGGCCCGTTGGGTGTTAGTGTGGCCCGTTGGGTGTTAGTGTGGCCCGTAGCTCACGTAGCTGATTTTCCCTGCGCCTCCCGGCTCCCGGCGCCGGAGGCGCCCGTGTATCGAAGAGTGGGCCCGGCGGCAGGGCCGAAACCAGCTGCACGCAGCAGATTTCGTACCCCCCCCCATGTCCGTATCCCCCCCCTGTCGTTCGGCCCGAGCAGGGTGGGGGCCGAGGACGGCTGGGAGGCGCGCTGCCGCACGGCCCCCGCGGCGGGCGTCTGCCGAGGCCCGGCGGCTCTGCGGCCGCAGCCCGCGCCGCAGGCACGACCCACGGAGCGCAGCAGCTGCAGGCAAGGAGGGTTCCACCTCCACGTCGAGCTAGCGGCCCTGGTCCTCCCCCCTCTTCCTCCTCCTCCTCCTCCTCCTCCTCCTCCTCCTCCTCCTCCTCCTCCTCCTCCTCCTCCTCCTCCTGTCGGCGCGCCGCGGCCGCGCCCGAGCGTCCGCCACTCCTTGCGCTCCTGGAGCACCTGGGCCGCGGGCTCCGCCTGGACGCACGGGGCGAGCCGCACCGCAGCTGCCCCGGCCTTGCACGCCTCGCGGGCGCAGGCGAGGCCGTCGTTGGGTGCCCTGCCGCGCGCCCTCCCCCGCCCACCCGTCGGCGCCGCCATTGGCGAGGGCGATCTGCGGCTCCTCGCGGGAGGCCTGCACCGGGAGGGGCGTCCGAGCGGTGGGCTTCCGCCTCGCTGGAGGGCACGCCGTGCTCCCCTGGGCCTGGGGCGCCGATCCTGAGCCAGACTCTGCGCCATGGGTCCGTGTTCGGACGTGGAGAGCAAGAGTGCACCACCGCGGGCCCGCCAGATGCCACACCGAGGATCGACTGGCCTTTCACGTGGAGATGCACTGGCGGCAGCGCGTGCTCGAACGCGATGTCCACGGCGCGAAGCTCCGCGCGATCGATGTTCCGCTGCACTGGCAGGCGCACCGGCAGCGGACCCCCACAGCGCAGGCGGGAGCCGGCCGCCCAGCGCCTCCTCGCCCGCCTGCTGCGCCACCCCGCCGGCGAGCCCGAGCCAGCGCCACCTACCCTTGAGCGCCAGGCAGGCCCTCCGCGCTCGATCAGAGCTGCACCGTGAGGCTGCAAAGGTCGCTGCCAGCCTGGGTGCGCCGTCAGCCCACGCTCCCACAGCAGCCCGGAGGGGCTGGTCGCGATGGCATGCTGCCACTGCGCGGGCATGGCATCTCGATGGTGCCGAAGCCCAAGATACTCCCCGGGACTGTGCTGTGCCGTGCTAGGGACCTGCACGCCGTGCTGGAGGCACAGGCGGCAGTAGGGGTCCGCCGCCTCGCCGCATGCATGCGCCCGCACCTGCGTCCAAGGACCCCCCGTGATGGCCTGGGCGATGAATACCCTGCCCACGCACCACGCCCTCTGGTGCGCGGCAACGAAGCTGCGCAGTGGCTCCACGAATGGCATTGGTGCCGGGCAGGCGCGCTCGGCATCGTCGGCAATCCAGCTCGCCCACTGCGCCTGCTCGTAGTCCCACCCTGCCCAGGCAGCGACGCCGCGAGGGCAGATGTCTAGGACGTCGATGCGAATTTGGTCTGTGGAGCAGGGAGAAGGGAGGAGGAAAAGGGAGGAGGAGATGGAGGAGCTCCTCTTCCTCCTGCCCTCCTCCTCCTCCTCCTCCTCCGCTTCCTCCTCCTCCTCCTCTTCCTCCTCTTCCTCCTCCTCCTCCTCCTCCTCCTCCTCCTCCTCCTCCTCCTCCTCCTCCTCCTCCTCCTCCTCCTCCTCCTCCCCCTCCTCAACCCCATCCTCATCATCATCCTCGGCATCCTGCTGCTGCTCCTCCTCATGTTCCTAGTGTTACGTTGCCTGCTCATGTGTTTCGTCCCCCTCCCCACCTCTTTTTTTTCCCCCTCATCCTCCTCCTCCGCCTCCTCCTCCTCCTCCTCCCCTCCTCCTCCTCCTCCTCCTCCTCCTCCCCTCCTCATCATCATCATCATCATCATCATCATCATCATCCATCATCATCATCATCATCATCATCATCATCATCATCATCATCATCATCATCATCATCATCATCATCATCATCACATCATCATCATCATCATCATCATCATCATCATCATCATCATCATCATCATCATCATCATCATCATCATCATCATCATCATCA